TTGTTGATTGTATAATAGATCTCTTATCAGGTACTCTTATTCTGATTTCAGTTTCCCTCCTTTTTTTACTCTAGCTACTGCCATAAGCTTTTGAGTTTAGTGCTTGCTTTCTCAGACTTCATATTTCTTTTGGATTGCAGATCTCTATTACTGCACTTTCCGGATTCATACCAAATTAGGGGCGAGCAACATTTTTTCTGTATATGGTTCCAAACCTTTTAAGCTGCCCGGAAGCTAAATCTATAAAAGTTTACCTATCAGGTAAAGTTTTAGGCATACAAATTTATAATATTAATGTTAATTCTACAAAAATAAATACAAACTGCATTTTTCAAAATTTTCAATGTCTAACTAATTGTAATACAGGTGCTACGTTTGTCTTATTGATTCTTGATGGTTGGAATGAATATAAATACATATAGCGATGTACAGTTTCAAAGTATTAGTTATTAAATTTTACCAACTAAAAATTTAGTGTGCTAGCTATATGTTTGTAAAAAAATTCACAAGGCACTCTTTTCATACTTTTAATTGTTCACAAGACACTATTGGAGGTACAATAGCTTTCAATTGTTAAAGCGTTCATAGCTTTCAATTTTTAAAGCCTTCAATATCTAATGTTGAATTGGCTAACAGTTATCCCTCCTGATTACTTTCAATAGCAAAATTTAGAGGTTAGTTACCTCCAATACATATTACATACGCATCATACCCATTAACAAATCAAATATACAAAAACAAATTTCATTCACTATGGTTCACAGATTTCTTAAGTTCATGAGACTAATTGTAGGCCATCTTTTCTCCTACTTAGATTTGTATGACTTAAGTTCTTGTTTGGATTAAAATTTTGCCCGCTTGATTTTCCAATGCATTACACTGGTACACCGTTGGATGGGACTCAGTTTGATTCCAGTCGAGATAGAGGCGCTCCGTTTAAGTTAACTCTTGATCAAGGTTAGTTCTCATTCTGAATGATTGTATTACATCTGTGCAAAATCATTATCTGTGGAATACCTATTTCAAGTTTATTCCGAGATTATGTAAGATTAACAAAATTGTGTATTATGGGGATTAATTATTGAGCGAAATACGCATTCCTTTTTTAGTTCACCGTTTCTTAGAGGTTTCTATGGACTATGGGGTAGGATCGTGTCAGATTGCATACTTAATAATTTATCATATGTATCTTTCGATTAACAGGATTAGTAATTAAAGGATGGGATCATGGTATAAAAAAAAATATGAAGGGAGAGTCTGCTCTCCCCCTACCATCCTCACAATGCGACATTGCAGTTTGATGTTGAATTGCTGTAATGATCAAGGGTTAAGGACATTTGCAAGAAAGGTCATGATGCTGATAGTGAAGATCAGCCTTTTGAGTTCAAGACTGACGAGGGTGTGCATCCCATCGAAGACACATGATGAACATGTTTTCTCAAGTTCTTGAATGATTATGACAATTGTAGCTTTAGACAATGTATTAATATGTTTACATAAGCAAGAATTGTATTATTATAACTTATTGTTATGTACTAAATTCTTATTTAAACTTGTTTAAAATTTGTGCACGAATAAAAAAGTTGTTTTTGTCATTGTGCTCGATTGATTCAGCAAAGCAGATGCAAAATCGTGTTATAGTTGATACTATTAATTATTTGATTATAGAATAAATACAGGTTGTATTGTTTATTTTTTTTTTTTGAGATTTTACATCGGTTGTTATTATAACCGATGTGAAATCTATTCCACATGGGTTATCACCGATGTGAAATACCCTATGATGCAGCCAAACATGAAGGTTTTTTACATGGGTTATTTTAGATCCGATGTTGAAGAATCCACATCGGTTATAACCGATGTGGAAAGCCATTTAAAATGCCGATTTGGACAATCTACTAGATCGGGCACTGCACGACCGATGTAAAAAGATTTTTCACATCGGTTATAGAACCGATGTGAAAAGTCTCTATTTTTCACATGGGCTGAAACCACATCAGTTGTTTGACCGATGTGAAAAGCCGTTTTTGACCGATGTGAAAAGCCTTTTTTGTACTAGTGGTAGTCGAGTTGGACTCGAGAATGCAAATATATGTGTTAGGGTTGAACCCTATATATTGTTGTGACTAGGGGTCACGGGGTTTGGGCTATGTTTGATAAACAAACCTTGGGCCTACGGGCCGACTACTTGACTTTATATATAAAGTAAGTATATTTTAAAAACGGGGTAACTTGGGGTTACGGCCTAGATTATATTATCACCCTATTTGAGGGTCTTGTGTTTGAAATACTTGTTGTATATCTATTAGATGTCATCCACACCAGCACTTTATAGCCCTATAGAGTGTTGACCCCTTCGGGGGCGTCCCACCACCATTTTTCAGGTTGAGGCTAGAGCTTGCTTCCTGTGCTCGTTGCTCGAGAGATCATCTAGGAGGGAAGACTTGGTTCGTGCTTCCTCCATTCGGTTTTTAAACATTAACAAACATGCTCATGAATATTTTACTATAGAGCCTGCGTGCTCATGTTAGCCACGTGTGGCATTTGTTTTCAAACTATGTTTTCCGCTACGTATTCGATTGCTTATTATGTTGTTTATGGATGGCTTGCGTGTGAGTGATATTCTAGACGCCTTGTATAATATGAACGTGTTGGACTGCGGTTGACTATTCATATTGTACGGCGGGTTGTTGACGTGTCCGGGGAGGTCCGAGGCGTGACATAAGCTGTCTTACCTTTTTATTGTAGTTCCTACAATCTTTTTCAATAAAAGGAAGTTGATCATACCCACCGGCTTCAACAACGGCTGCATTGAAGGTTTTATAAAGTCGTATTCCGGTCACATCGTTGATTGCAACTTGCCTCATTGCTTGGGGAGTCAAAGTCCGATAGCACCGGAATAGGCGAGCCTTAGTTGGACTCATGGGATGGTTATGCTCAAGACAGATTTTTGAAATTTCCCAACGTCCCACATAATTTGTGCGTGCTCGTATTTTTGCTACACATCCCATTTGCATTGAAGGTTGAGGCTTCAATTGATTTTTTGACCTAGTAGATCTACTACCGGCATGAGAGCACTCTAGTAACACTCCAACTATATGTACTCCATTTTTGTGTTTCGTGGTACTCCTAATTCTTACGGGAAATCCTAAACGCTTCCCATATGCCTTGTAGAAATCATACACCGCTTCTTTGCTATCAAATTCCATACCGACATCCGGAGTTTGTATAGAACCATCATCACTCTCATTTTGCTTAATTGCTCCATCTGATCGACATTCACGTAATTCAACGATTAAACAATGTGTCCATGTCAACATGCAATGAGGTAAGTATATTTACGCACACAGGCAGAGGTATATTTATGCACAGACAGAAGCATATATACACACAAATAGAGGAATATTGACACACAGACATTACAAACAGAAGTGTACTTACGCAGTGGTATATTTACGCACAGACATAAGTATATTTACTCACAAACAAAAGTATATATGGACACAGACATTTAAACTCAATGTACACAGACATAATGAAACTTATAATATTTTGAACACAAAATTTATATACACTTTACGCACAGACATAAGTATATTTACTAACAGACAATTTATATACACTACACAAACACAAATAATTGTCTGTGAAGAACAAACATATATTTAAGTTCAAAGCCAATGAAACCAACAACACAAACTCATACCAAGCTCAGGGACGTCGTCCATGGCCGGTTCTCTGTCAAGTTCAGCCGCCGCCTCTGGTTGTCCGTCATGTTCAGCCGTGGCCGCCGCCGGTTCTCGCTCACCTTCATCCTCCATCGGAAAATCTCCTTCACGTCGACAACCACCGGTTGTTTCAGCCCAATTAGCCCAAAAATCGTCCACCATAGTATCAATGATAGTTTCATTCACAAAGCCAGGAAAATCCATTTTTGGAACGTTGTTCTGCTGCGGGAAAGAAAAAACGACGAAGAGGGGAGGGAGGGAGGGAGCTGCGGGAATAGAGGGGAGGGGAGGGAAAGAAATCGCACGTGAGGGAGGGGGTAAAAAAATGTAATTTTTGGGCCTATTTATAGTGTGTAGGTGTGTGTACCAAATGTGTGTATCCCAAGCCCAATTACCTTGGTTTTAATACACTTATTGAGAATGTTGACTTTATCATTGATCCATTACGTCATGTTTATTAATGACTTAATCAAAAAATTGGTTCATCATTCGGTCAATAAATTGTCTAAATCATTCAAGTGTAAAATAGTAATTCTTGTCATTAAGATTACTACTAAGACATCTTTTCTAGTCAATTTTTTTAATTCTATTGTGGAATAGATTTATTACTCCCTCAGTCCCAATTTGATTTGCAATATTTCCTATTTTGGTTGTCCTGAAATGGTTTTCCACTTTCTATTGTAGGTATGTAAATAAGAATAAAGTGACAAATTTATACATACTAACCAAGCATTCCAGCTCGCTCGGTGGGAGGTTATCGTGCCTAGTGGAGGTCTTGGATTCGAAACCCGCTAGGCACAAATAGGGGAGATGAGAGAGGTCTAGCTCCCAATTATTCTTCCTACCTTCACGGAGTTGCTCAACGGTTAAAAAGGGAGAAAATGGAAATTCAGGCTCGAGTTCGCGTGGTGGGAGGACCCTTCTGGATTAAGTGAAAAGGTTGAGGACCCATGTAGTATCAGTACCGACGAGGCTGATTGTGATCAAATCCGGATTTATCTGTCTAGAGACATTGGAGGGTAGTCAATAGACTCCAGGATTAGGGGAGCGCAAACACCGACACCTGGATCATAAATAAGACAAATTTACACAAACTTTTATTTTTTTCTATTAACTTAAAGGCATTTAATTTTTGAAAGATGGGTAGAATTGTAAAAAGAAAATACTCGGTATCATTTATTGTAATTTTCTTAATTTTTTAGCTATTCAAATTTGGGAAAACAAATTGGAATGGAGGTAATATGTACGAAAGTGTTTTCATTTGTGACTGATTGGTACTACAAATGTACAGTGTATGACATATGCACAATAAATTCGAATCTCCATTCTCCGCAATCACCAAAAAGCTTACAAAAAGAAAATTAAAGTGCAGCGGAGACTCTTCTTCCAAAAGCAGCGACTTCAGCTACAATTTCCCACAAGCTGCTCTGTTTTGATGGATTCGAGGTGGAAGCGGGAGAGCAGCTCCGACGCCGGACTTCAGCTGCCGGAAAGCCCACGGCAGCCGATGGAGTTCCTCTCCCGGTCATGGAGCATCTCTGCTCTACAGGTCTGCAAGGTTCTAGCTCCTCCTCCCCATTCCTCTGCCGCGTCTAATTTGCCTCCCAAACCTGCCACTCCTACCGCCGCTCCCAACGGCGGCGGCCCCTTGCCGGAGATTTCCGCCGGCGAGTATTTGGAGCCGTCTAACCTCATCGGAAGCGCATTCCCCTTTGCTTCGTCAGCTACTTCTAAGCTGGTGCTCGAACGCATAATGTCTCAGTCGGTAAGCATTCCCCATTTATGATCATCTATGTATATATCACAAAACTCTCGTGTCAAAGAGTACGTTTGCTGTTTCCGAAACTCCCGAAAACTCTTTGGAAACTCTCCAAATAGGAGTTTTTTGAGCAAAAGTTCGCGTTTCCGTGCGATATAGATGATCATTTTTCATTTGGTTTGTTATTATTATATTTTCTTGATAAAAACAGAATCTTTAAACAAAATTACTTTTTCAATTTTAATTTAAGAAGCACAATGGGCAAGAAATATCGCCGCTAACTTCAGGAAGGCTGTCGCATAGCAGTGGACCTCTGAACGGTTCCCTCACCGAAGGTACAGATAGCCCGCCGGTCTCCCCCTCCGATGAGCTCGAAGATGTTGTTAAGGTACTGCCGTTCACGTTTTCCTTATATTGGGATAGCTTCTTTTACAAGTGTTTTCTCATTTTACTACAAGTATTTAAGTGTTGTTTTTTACCGTTCACGTTTTCCTTATATTGGGATAGCTTCTTTTACAAGTGTTTTCTCATTTTACTACGAGTATTTAAGTGTTGTTTTTATTGATGAAACATTATTGTTAAGGGATTTGAATTGTGAGAATATAGTGTTTTGCAAAGTCAACATTTTTTGGTCAACAAATAATAAAAGTCAACCCTCTTTATGCACAATTATTTCAATTTTTAATAAATAAAATTTATATGTTCATAAACTACATCAAAATCTCTTCAAAGTTGTAAACTCCAAATTAGAATATAATAAAAAATGCATATCCTAATTAAGTGAACAAAACGCAACTGTTTGACCAAGAAAAGTCAAATTTGCAAATCAATTCAGGACGGAGGTAGTAGGAATTTTATTAGAGAGAATTCCCAATATGGGAGTAAAACATAGAAAACATGCCAAAATAGGAGTCCTATGAGTTACATATGTTTCACACGAAAGTTTTAAAAGAAACTGACCATAATACCCTTAATGAAAGCAAATCATACATTCATACGGCGTAATACATAACACGTGGGCTTAAAAAAAGATAACAAGTGGGCTTTCAAAAAAAAGACAATAGGTGGGGGGCGACATGAGGTGATGGAACTCCACACTACAACCCTAGATCGTGGTTGCAGTCTTCTCTGGCGGTAGCGCCGCCGACAGCCACATCATCCCAAATTGCCGCCGTTGATCGCCTCATCAAACATCCCAACCGTCACTTCTTCCGCCGTCGGGCGTTTGTAGCCGCGTTCATCACTTCGCCGCCGTCTGCCGCCTCTTCTTGAAGACCGCAGTGGATCTCCATTGTTGGTGGGGTATGTCGGAATCGGTCAAACATGTGGTGGACTGGTGTGACTGTCACATTCAGTGGCAAGTTTCTTGCCATGCTTCAGTCTGATTGTCATCTTCGTAATTGTAATGACTAGTATAACATCTGAATATCCAATGACAGAATTTTGAGATTAAAAAACATGGCTTTTTCTGGAAAAATTATGGCATTTTCTAGGGAAAAAATATGGCATTTATGGATATTTTTTTTAACGAAAACATGACATTTATGGATATAAAAAATGACATTATATGTAATATTGCCTTAAAAATTGCACTATTACCCTAAAAAGGCATTGTTTGCCAAGTGACTTGAAAATGATACTATTACAGAAAAATGACATTGTTTGCCAATTGAGTTAAAATGATACTAGCTATGTAAATCCATAGAAATGACTTTACTTTCAAAGCAATGTTCGAATAGAAAAAGATATTATGACATTACCATATTTAAAATGATTAGAAATAGAAATCTTTATGTTTTAAAATAATTTGATCAAAATTGACAGAAAAAATGAAATCTAACTATTTTCGATTAATAAATATTAGTCAAATCTTTTAGATGCAAGTTAATTAATTTCAAAATTAATCAAAATTAACAATATAAAATTAAATAAATTTCAATTTTCAAATGATGGACATTTTCTAGCGAACACTAATAATAAAAAAGGACATTTTTGTTTTAAAATAAAATAATACATTCCAGATCCAAAATACTACGTAGCATTTATTAAATAAAACTATTAATGGAAAATGACAAAAAATCGAAAGGAAACAAAATAACAGATGGACGAAGAAGGAGAAGAGGAGGAAGAATGAGAAGAGGAGAAAAAAGAAAAAGAAGGCATACCAAAAATTTTTGACCACACTTGATTTCATTACTCAATTTCACCGGGGATGGGTATAAAATCCGTTCGCCATCTGAAAACTCATCTGAAATGGTGATTTCATTAAATCTATAAAATGGACATGAGATGCTAAATGAATTGCAGGAGATATCAAATGAGGGGTGAGGGAAGAAAGTAGAGGAATAAGATAAACCGGTGGGCGTAGCTCAACTGGTAGAGAGGGAGTGCCACAAGGGTTAGGTTACGGGTTTGACTCTCAGCAACTGCGATGAAAGGTTACTCAATAGAAGGCCTCTGCAAGTATTGCGGACGGAGCCCCACTCTCTATCTATCAGATTGTGATTATAGTCCAATTTACATCCTCCCATCGTGTCGTCCGGTCGGTGTTGGGGGGCCCTCAGGGATGGGGTGTCATCCTTGTAGAGGAATAAGATAAGAAAGAGAAAGGTTGGGAGGGGACACGTGATGGAAGAGCAGGGAGGGGAGGGGAGGAGAGAGGGAGAGAAGTGGGGCGGTCAGATTGGGAGGTTGCATGACGGAAAGAAAACATCGAACAAAATTAAGGATGTTTTTATTTGGACTGTAATTTGCTGGTCTGGTCTGATCTGGTCTGGTCTGGTCTGGTTTCTTTGTATTTTTATAACTACCCAAGTCTGGTCTGGTCTGGTCTGATCTGGTCTGGGACAAATTACAGTCCAAGTAAAAACATCCTAAATGTGAGTAGGGGTAAAATTGGAATTGAAACTCATACTTTGGAATTAAATACCGGTTGAAACTCCTATTTAGGGAATTTGAAAGACACGCTCCTCTTTTTGCTTAAGTCTTATGTTTTACTCTTATTCATGGTAATTTTATTACTCCGTATTAAATTAAACAAAACATATACGTACTACTCCGTATAAAAAAGTAATTAAAAATGATACTCTATAATAATTCAATCAAATAGGCTTTAAAATGCTAAAATAGAAAAGCACTTCTCATCTCCTATATTCTCTTCTATCAAACTTTTGAACCGTATTTTTAAATTTTGCATTATTTTACTTCTATTTTAGAAAACGTATTACTCCCTCCACTTTGGATGAACTCACAACTCACAGGGTTGTTGGTTGCGGGGTTGCTGGTTTGATCTTGTCTATCGGTATGATCTGATTTGATAAATGTTTGATCTGATATTTTATAATTGTCAAATTTCAATTTTCTAATTGATAAATGTTGCGATAATTGAAGAGATACAGGAATATGAAAAGGGAATGGCCGAATGAGGAAATAGTGGAATGAGATAGAAAAGAAAAGGTAGAAAAACCGAAAATAGAATATTGAAAAAGTAGAAATAAAGTTTTACAAAATGAAAAAGAAGTATTAAAAAATCTTTACGAGAATTTAGGACCAACGAAAAGATGGAGTATTAATTTTTGTGTTAAAATAATTTTTCTATTTTCGTCCTAACTCCTGAACACTTCTTTTTGGAGTAAAATCACTTCAGTTTTTAAGATAATAATGCTTACTTAGTCAAAAAAGTGATTCATTTTAGGAACCGACATCACATGTAACCAAAGTCTATAGAAAGAAACAACAAAAATGAAAGAAGAATTGTCCCACGGATGACTGGTTTCTAATTGGTAGAGTCAAGTGGTTAACTTTATTAATCTTATTAATTAAAGTCACGCTTTTGAGTCATAGCGGTTAATTACGAACTCGCCTTTTTCAATCCGTTTCACCACATCCATGTGGACCATGTGGTTTGTCGTGGGATGGTGGCTAATATAATCATTTGTGTAATTGTGTGCTTTTTCCCAAAACGCCAATATTCTCTTTCAAATTAAGTATGGTTTTAATTTGTTAGTTGTCCCAAAGTAATTGAAGATATGTAATGCTTGATTTTGACTAATGTGTAAAGCAACCCATATTAATTTATTCGAAGGATGTTTTAAACTGGATGAATATTTATTCGAATTAATTTCAGTTTGGTAAATCTCTGTTTTTGTGTATTTTACTATTGTGAAAGTCTGATCTGATATAATTTGCTTAAGTCTGATTTGATTTGATCTAATCTATAACTAAAACCAGTCTAATTAAGAACATCTCTAATCCATAATTCTATCCGAAGAAAGAAATATAAATGATATTAATGTCCATTTTGCTACAACTTCTAAATCCCTTATTTATGCTTTGGAAGTATTCTTTTGTTAAACCTAATAAGTAATAAATGAATGGTATCTAATATGTATATATATATATATATATATCGACATTTTTAGGAGAAAATGTATGGGGGACACCAACGTGTTCACCATAGAGCATATTCGCGTGATGGGTCGGAATTCTCTAGATACTTTAAATGTTTGAATCCGCACCATTCATCATGCCAACACAGTCCGTATGAGCACGTTGACGTGTTCCACGTATTTTCTCCCATTTTTAGATTGCAAGTTTTTCTTTGATACTTGTATACAACAAAATGGTTTAATTGATCATTGAGCAACTATAAGAATTCTAAACGATTAATTTAAAACAACCGTTCATGAACTGGCACCATTATATTATCAAATCAACTTTGGTTTTACTAGTAGAAAAAGTTGTCAATGTCGTGAATGGTCAAATGAAAAAACCAAAATTTCACGGGTACAGTTAAAAAAACAGTAGAGGTTAGTATTATTAGTCAATGATGGGTCTCTGGTATGAAAGCAAAGCATATAGGGATTCGGGTTGTGGATCATTCTATCATTCTAAAGCCAAAGTATTTATTCAAAAAAGCTAATAAAGCACAGTATACTTTTATGGTCTTTGTTACTTTTGATTCCACTTTTGTTAATCACGGGCTTTGTTTTGACAATAACAGGATTTAGAGTACCCTACTTTTGTTACAATATACACTTTCGCTTCTTTCGAAACCAACTTTATTTTGTGTCTGTGCCCATTCCGCACCTTTTACAATATACAATAATTACGGTCACTGTACATCTCCGATTTAGTTTTCTGATGAGGAACCATAGAAAATGGAAGATGGAAGATGATGAATGTGATGAAGATAAAAGATAATAAAGATGGTGATGGTGATGAAAGATGACATAAGATGGTGAAGATGAAAAATGGAAGATTGTGGAGTTGAGAAGGTGATGAAGATGGAAGAAAAAAGAAAGAAGAGCTGATGGAAAGAATTACAGCGTAAAAGAGAAAGAGGAGAGAGGGAAACGACATAGAAAGGAGTAAAATGTAAAATTGAAATGATAAAAATTAAAACTATTTACAATGTGTACGCAGTACATAGACAGAAGGTGTACAAATAGCATTTTTATTAGGAAACGAATAGTGGTTTCTTCTTTTTAGGCCGAAGATTTGGAACAACATTCAATAATTGATGCAAAATTGTACTCCCTTTGTTTTAATTGTATTTGTAAAACTTTGTCTTTTCATTGTATTAAAATGATTTTTCACTTTCTATTTTGAGTATTGAATGATAAATGAAGTGACAAATCTACCCTTATTTTTACCTCCTTTCCATTTTCATAGATGCCTTTAAACTTTAGGGACAAAGGCAAAATAGTAAACACAAATTTAATTTGTTATCTTCCTTAATTCTTGTGCTAGTTAACTTTTACAAAATGAGGAACTTTTTCTACGCCATATAGTTCAAGTATAGCGTTTGAGGTAAACTAAGTCACTATGATTTAAAGAACAAATATCTAATTAGGAGTAAAACATTGCAAACTTTTTCAAATAGGAGTTATATTGTTTTTTTCACAAGACAAGATCCCTGCACTAAATAAGTCATACTTTAAAAAGAAAACGTATTTAATGATATTTTAGAACTTTGTCTATATCTTTTAATTCCAATATCTATTGAATCATTAATCTATTTTTCCGAGAAAGAATGTATGAGCTTTGGGTGTGGGAAATTTTTAGAAGTTCGTCTATCTTGAAGTTTATTTGTATATAATCCGAGGGGAATGTACAAGATTGTGGTGGATTGTTTTTGTATGTAGAATTCCATCAAAATCCATTAAAATCCATCCAAATTAGTAACAATAGAAATCCATGGAATGTTTGAAGACACCCTTATTTTCATGGACTCCACAGAAATCCAAATCGGGGACACCTGGATTCTGACAGAATTCTAAATTCCATTAAAATCCTCCATAATCCGAATCCGGGACACCCCTTAGTTTTGTCATATCTTAATATGTACAGAGTTTAATGTGACTTGATTTTTTTCGTTCAAGCAGTACTTACAAGCCAACAACAGTCTCCAGCCTTTATTCACTAATCATAACACGAGTAATGGATATGCCGGCAGCGGAGCAACCACCCCTGCAGGAGGCAGAACGGTTGGGAGGTGGTTGAAGGAGAGAAGAGAGAAGAAGAAAGAAGAGAGCAGGGCACAAAATGCTCAGCTCCACGCTTTGATTTCGGTCGCTGGAGTGGCTGCTTCAGTTGCTGCAATCACAGCCGGTACTGCTGCGGCTTCTTCCACCGGAAACGATGAGAGCGCCGCCAAGACAGACATGGCCGTGGCCTCAGCTGCAATGCTGGTCGCTGCGCAGTGCGTGGAGGCCGCGGAGTCCATGGGAGCCGACCGCGATCACCTTATCTCCGCCATTAGCTCTGCCGTCAACGTCCGTTCCCATGGAGATATTTCAACCCTCACAGCCGCAGCTGCCACAGGTAATTTATACGTAGTATATCGTAAAATTACTAAATTAAGAGTAAAAACGTTTGAAAACCCGATATATTAGCATTATGTTTTTATTCTCTATATATTACTCCCTCCGTCCCTGAATGTTCTTCTGATTGCGGATTACGAAGGTTGACCGACGATAAAGTTAAATGATCCCTGTGAAAACTCGGATTATTTTTAGTAAATAAAATTTACATATTCAGAAACTACATTAAACCCGCTACAAAGCCTGCACAAAAAAAATCAATTTTCATAAAGTTTTGATACAAAAAGTAAGAGTTTAAGAGTGATTTAAGTTGACTCTCGAAAAGCGAAATGGAAGTAAATTTAGGGACAGAGGGAGTAGTAATTACGACCAAACATGGAAATAGTGTCACGTTTAAAGTTGTCATGGAAATAGTGTCGCGTTTAAAGTCGTTATGACAAAACATGACAATAATTACTCATAAATAATAATAAAAAATAATAGTCCTATTTTGGAATTCACAACATTTTTTATCATCATCCTTTCATTATGCTGCATGCCATGATCAAGTAATGGCCTAATGTTCAATACATATGAACTCATTATCATTTTTTCCTGTGTTTTAGCTCTACGCGGAGCTGCTACTCTCAAGGCGAGAGCGTTGAAGGAAGTCTGGAGTATCGCCACAGTCACACCTGCGGCGGCAGAGGATGGACAGGGAAAACTCAATAAAGGTCCCACATGCAACAACAATGGCTATTGCGAGGGACTGGACATTGAAGAAAATTTCTTAGGAGTTTGTAACCAGGAATTGTTAGCCCGAGGTCGAGAGCTGCTCAAGAGAACCCGGAATGGTAACTTTAAATTTTGTAAATAAAAAAGTGTTTCAAAGTAGTTCAATTCAATGTATTAACTCAATCTATGGCTAAATACAAAAATGCAAACTTATATAATGGCCTTAAACTAACTATGGTCCAAATTAAGCTTAGATGTACAAAATTATTCCTATACAATAAAAAAGGATCATCTAGACCTTAATGATCTAAAGGTTCAAGCTAACCTAGTTAATTAACCATGGTCCAAATTAAGTCTGAGTACCTTAGGATGGTACTTAAGTCAGGTCTTAAGACTCTTAAATATTGAATCATGTAGCAGAGGCCAAATAGAATACAAAGAGACATGTTGTGTAAAGTATTGATACAAGATTGATTTTTAGGATTGAATATAAGTTAAAATGATTTGACTAAAACTTAAGAAGAGTACATGAATTTCAAATCCAATATATGCCACTTTTCGTATCTAGTTGATCTTTAGAAGGATGAAAAAGGCATAATGTTATATATCATATTAACAATCAGTCAATCAAATTAAGCCATGTGTCTCATACATGGTTACATTTTTAGTATTTGTGATTGAATCTTGTGTCACAGGCGACTTGCATTGGAAAATAGTGTCCGTTTACATACACCGTAGCGGAGATGTAGTGCTAAAGATGAAGAGTAAGCATGTCGCTAATACCATCACTAAGAAGAAGAAGAGTAAGTTCAACTTAACCCATGGAATGACATTTTTTGTGTATAGTGTTAAAATATATTTAACTCTGCCAGTCTACGACAGTATATACATATGTATATATCATATATGTACAATTTGGTTTCATGATGTTTTCCAATGGTGGGTATATTGCAGATGTAGTATTAGAGGTATGCAGGGATGTGCAGGCTTGGCCAGGGAGACACTTGTTTGAGGGGGGGCAACACTTTAGATACTTTGGGCTAAGAACACAAGTGCGGGGTTTGGTTGAATTTGAGTGCAAAAATCACAAGGAATATGAAATGTGGACTCAAGGCGTTTCAAGACTTCTCTCTGTTGTGGCTGAAAGGAAAAGAAGATTGAATTCTTATTGAATTAGGAAGAACAAACCAAACGTGGTTATATATGAATGTAGATGTTGGTAGATGATGGATGTTGTGGAGTTGCCAGCCTCAATTTGCATATAGAGTCAGTATGTAAAATAGTGTGTGCGCTTTTTAATTTAGTGCAAAACTTTTTCGGGAATATGCTTTTATTTTGAATATGTTTGGAACACGAAAATGCTACGGAAAGAAAATAGGAATTGAGTGAATATAATTTCTTTCCTTTTCCTAGCATTTTCGGTGATCCAAACATAGCCTAAAGCAAGTGAGTCATTGTCATCGCGATTAGTGAGAGAATGCAAACATTGCGAGTTTCCAATGAATTCATTGTGCGCAAATCTTGAGGTTTCATTTATAATTCAGTGCCCGATTGATCAGAATATTTATGCCTATGAGACGACTTACGGTTTTTGGTTGGCGAAATGCTTTTACATTTTCATTTGTTATGGAATTTTCATGAATTTCACTTTTTATGTATTTATTCATATAAGCTAAATAGGTGGGGAGGGGGGGACTCACATCAGGGTTGTGGTGAATTGAAGCTCAGGGCAATTTAGTTTTTCCAAATTTTCTAGTGTAAATTTTTTTCATCTTTCATTATTTACCCACTTTGCTAATGTTAAAACTAGTATAACTATTTGAAGCTCAGTCCTGCTCAGGATTCTTGAATCTGCCATATAGTAAATCTTCATTGAGATAACATAGGGGTTTGTGGTTAACTTTATGGAATGTCAATAGGCAATGGATTTGTAAGAAACAAGGATGACCTCATAGAACACTTTCAAGCAAAATCTATCATTTCATTTATGTTCATATTCTGCAAAGCATCCTACCTAGCACTGCTTATATATTCATGCCAATCCATAAATAAACATGAATTTCCTTTTGTAAAACTTGTGCCAATCCAATTATCCAAATGTGTCTTAAACTTTGGGACCACCCCCTTCAATAAATTAAAATGTGATGTCGAGAGTTCTTGAGATCTATACTTTTTTTGTAACAACGGAAAAGTGGTTATCTTTATCACTAAAGGAAAATAATTGTACACTGAGTGACTGAGTCATACCAATGCAAATTTTGAACCAAAGCAGGGCAGTTATAGGCTGCTATAATATGTCAAACTATAACTTCTTTCCATTTAGCTTGGGCAACACAACACAGAATGTTTGACTGCTGGAAGGTTTGGGAACTAGCTGAATTCACAAGGAATTCCTTCAAGGGTTGAGACTTGAGCCATTAATATTGAGTCCATTAGGAGGAGGGAGCTTTTAGCTTTATTACATATATAATGCTGAATTTCTAACACTAACTGGAGGCAATCAAGATTTGCTAGTGTGGTGTAACTGTGTTTAAGCACAGAAAGATTTTCCCACGAGTCCACGACATGAATGGATAACTAGAAATGTAGTGATTGGCTCAGCTCATTAGCTGCTATTACATCTACCACAGTACACACATGTTTCTTTTAGTTGTTTCTTTCTTCATTTCTTTTCCGGTCCAGCTTACTGTATTGCTTCTTCCAATCCAAAAAGGGGAGTAACCGAACAGGTGGGCATCCAAACTAAGAAACATAACCTACAGTTGGTCATCACTAAGCTATACAGCCCGGGGGAGGGGGGGGGGGGTAACCGAACTGCGTAAAGAAGAGCGAAAGCCTGCAGAAAAACAGAAGAAGAGTAGACAATGTCATAAGATTAGGCCATACTGGTACAAAACACTTGAGCACTTTCGCAGGGAAGGCCTCTGACTTTGAGGTCCTTCCACATGCTGAGAAATAACTAGGAACTGTTAGGATGATGTTATAGCAGCCCACAGTTGAGCAACACCTCCAATGCACAATAGGCATAAATGGGGTTGCATTGCAAAAACAATTGGCTTGAGTTGGAGTTTAGAGAGAAAATTCAAAACTGGCAACCACCCTGAGAGGGGGCTTAAGTTTCCAATAATAAATAACTGCAGAAGTGTTGCCAAAAACAGTGTGAGAATCAAAGAGGCCTTGGGGTTCCAGGATTTTGCAAGGAAGGGAGGGGGAGGGGGACATTTATTTTTTAAAGGATTCCAGATTTAGGTGTGTGGCAATAAGCTGAAGTTAATTATAAAACCACATTAGAATCACATGATGTAAGTAATCATAAAGGCATATATCTGGTCCAAATAGGGATATAATATATGTCATTAAAATAAAAACCATAAGGCCCAGAGCATTTGAGAAGTATAGCATCTCCCAAATCTGAAGCAGCAAGAACAAAGGTCTATTATAGACAATCATTTATGAAATCAGTTCATTCCAACTGAACCAATGCAATGAATATAAGATTATATAAACAAGCTTCCAACACTGTAATTATCAAACACCGTAATTAAATATGTGCTCACACTGCATAACAACGAAACGATTATTCAAAAAAGTAGCAACCTTTGGAGCATAAAACCCTAGACTCAGCTAACAACGCAATCTTTTTAAATATGGACTCGATCTGCAATCTGAAGTAGCAAGAACAATACACTATTTCATCAATCAATTGTCCAAAAACAAAGAGCAGTGAACGAGACCTTGGATCGAAGTGGCAAAAAAAAAATTTGGACCATTTCTCGATTTGTGCGTGTCATCCTTGCGCAGGGGCCATGCTAATCTTCTCTGTATCGCTCCAATTTTATCGGATGTCCCCGAAGGGACAACCATGGATGAGAGGCTTCCGCATATAAACACTGTAAGCATTCCTTGAACGCCCGGTGTGGGATATAAACACTGTAAACAAGCTTGGACCAGTGAAAGACTGGGCCACGGAGTAGGAACACCGCACCAGCCCAATATATTCGTACTGCTATCCTCTGGGCTGTCGTTCTGGACTTTTACTTCTCCAATTCTTTGTTTGATATTCATTCTACTATTTGACTTTTTGGGTATAATATTTTGCACACTTCTTTATCAAATAACCAAATACTCTGTATAATTTATCAACAAATTTAACTTTCGACATAAGAGTTTCAAGGCTCGTTTGGTAATATATCTTTTTAGCTTATCGGCCTTTATCACCAACCACTTTTATGAAACACAAGTCGTACCCTTTAATTTCCACCACTGAATTGCGAAATAATCAAAATAAATATGGTTGAAGTTACTATAGAACACCATTTTAGCTATCTTTTCAAACAATTTTTTATTATAACTTTATCAACAAAATAAATTTTAGAGTCTCTAACACTAGAATTGCCTTAATCGGTTGATTCTGATGAAGTTCGGCCTGAACTAGATGAATTTACTGAATTGAATTGATTATATTTAAATTTTATTTTATTAGTAAATTAATTTTTTTTTAAATAGCTAAAATGATGCCCGACCGGGTATCCTGGGAAATTTCCCAGAAAGTCACTTTTTTGGGCATACCCGATCGGGTATGTGACAAATCTTCACCAAATCTTGCTCGCACGATCATTTGTTCTCCGATTTTATTTGGACAATCGAATCAAGCAAATACCCGATTGGGTATTGCCTATACCCGACCGAGTACATGAGTAATTTTTCCAAATCAAAATCTTTCTTGCCTCCTTGCACTTTCCTTGATCTTTTAAGGTCCAATCTTGTTCCCTTGGATGATTTTTGACCTGTTTAGGTCAGAATAGTCCTAATCTAAACAAATTACAAATAATTCTGAAAATAAAGTATTACACCAAAAGTGTGTAATTTCCACAACTAGAACTAATAAAAACTAGTTAAATATACAAACATACATAATTGGAAATTCACACTATCAAACTCCCCTACACTTAGTTTCTTTACTCGTCCTCGAGTAAAGTCAAAAGTTGACAAGTTCCAAGTCTTCAATAGTTCAATAGTCAACAAGAAAGAGCAAAAGACCACCAAGGATAAAACATGTTTGTTTACATTGAGTTTTAGCTCAATAAAAAAATAACATCTTCTTGGGTTTCATGGCCTTCTATGATGATTTTTTTCTTCACCTCTTTTATTCTTCTTTTCCGTCAAGAGATTAAATGATGTTCTGCAAAAACAAATATATCTCTCATATCTCTCATTTTGCCTAGGAGCCTTTTCAGGTTTTCATCCTAGCATGTCTTTTTGTTTTCCATCCTTTCCAACTCACTCATTTTTTTTATAAGTCCTTTTTGCTTAGATTGCCCATTTTTGGGTTTTCAACCTAACTAGCATTTCTCTTCTTTTATTTAATATTTTTTTTGTGAAAAAATAATGCAAGTTACAAGGTAGAAAAATTAATTGCGTACCAATGAGTGACTCCCCCTCACATAGCTCGGAGCACTGTCCCTAGTGCTCGTTATCGCCATCACTTTTTTTTTTGGGGGGGGGGGGTGAAGATGTAAAATTGTGGTTTGGGAGAGAGGTGAGTGTAAGAGTTTATGGATTAGAGGGTATGTGGAGTAAGAAGAAAGTGGTGAGAACAGGATGATGATTGTTTTGTGTGTGGGGTTTGGTGGAGGATTTAAATAGATTTTTAAAGAAAGAACGATATGGTTATGAGGGTTGGGGTGATTGGGGTGGAGTTGGATGGTGGTTTGAAAGATTAAAGATGAAAAGAGGTGAAAAGGAGGTTGTGTAGGGGAAAGAAATAAATAAATAAACACACAATGATGTACCTCGCTTGGGTTGCCTCTCAAAAAGAGCCTTATTTAACGTCGTGGCACGACACCATCTTTTTTAATTTCATCTGTTTAGGCTTGGATCGTGATGATCCCTCTTCTTCACATTTTCACCCGGGTGACTCTTATAGAAAAGCTCAATTTGTCGATACTTTATTTTGACAATCTTTCCGGGATCAAATATCTGGATTTCTATCACTTCATATTGTGAGAGTGAGGGTCCATGATTTGCACTTAGCATGGTCAATCGAAGGGGTTTTGATTTGGGTGGTATAAGAGGGAGTATGAAATGTTTGCGTAACTCTACCGTTATTCCATGCATATTTGTGAACGAAAAGAAATCTAAATGATACTCACAATTGCTGAAGATTTCGTAGATGTCTTTGTCGTTCTCCACCCTTTGTGTTTCCCTTAGAGCCTCAGGAAATGGTGGCATGAATTCAGGAATGGTCAGTGGTGGAGTTGAGTTTTGAGGTTTCTCCTCCGGTTGAGCTTTCTCCGTAAGCTCCTCTTCTTCCTCCTTCTCGCCAAAGTGGTTCACAATGCTTGACATTTGTTTCAATTGATTCTCCAAATTCTGTTCGTTGGACACTGTTTCTTGCGGGCATTGTGACATATCTCTTTGCATACTCATTACGTCGATAGTGAGAGCTCGGATCATGTCTTCAGTGGACATACTAGAATAAAAATTTGAGTACATGTGATCTCTCCTTCCTGGATTATATGTGTTGGAGAAAAGATCATATCTCCTATGAGATATTTTCCCTTGAAAACCAACATCATCAATTTGTTGAAAGTAT